GCGAGAGTCACGATGCCGAACGCGATACAACTGGCGGGTAAGACGATGAAACCCCACTTCTTAACACTCAGCGAGGCAGGAATATCGGCAAAGAAATAGACAGCGTAGTATATGCAGGCACCGATATTGAAGCCATACGTGCCCAAGCCGAGATCCTTATCAAGACCGGCGACGCGGGCGTTGCCCAGGTTGGTCCGGTCTAGGAAGGTGAAGAAGTACATGAGGAAGACCATGGGCAGGACACGCAGATCCTGCTTGCGAACCAACTTGGCCTCTAAAACAGGGTCAATGACATACTCAATGGCAACCTCGGCATCGACATTGCTTCCATGCGATGGCAAAACGCCATCCACAAGGTCAGTTTCATGCTTATCCGGCAGGTGGTGAGATTCCGACATGATGGTTCAAGTAGTCGGGGAAGTGGATAAACAGGTTGTGGTTGTGGGCTAAATCTCCTGGGCGCAGGGCTTTTATAAGAGCACGCCAAGCATAAAGGTAACCTTAAAAAGCCAAATGAGACGATAGCTAATACTAACCCTTGTTATTGGTTAGTAGCCGACTAGCCATCTAGAAATCCCATCAGTTGAACGCACAGGGGTGCGGGTAAGGACTGATAAGGCGGACGGTGGGTAGGAGACATCGGGTTACATGAGATGGCCTATCTATCCCGCCAGGCAAAGGCAAATGCAAGCTAAGCGGATATATATGGGACTTCAATAAGAGCTTGAAGCTGCTTAATTGTCAAAGTCGGATATGGAAAGATAAGGAGGCGGATGAGGGATCAAATGATAAGATCCTCCCAGAGCGGGGAATCCCTGGCATTTACGTCGGATCATTCCAACACTCAGCGGTTTGAGAGCGTTCCTAAAACGCCAGAGACCTAAGGCTCGATTAAAAATCAGCCTATTGATGTTCGTAGACCGCGAGCCCTTTATAGTTGTAGAAAACTGAGAAGTGCTGCCCCTAATGAGCATGATAACCAGGGATATATATCAGCTAGGGTTTCTAGACAGCCCGATTTCGGCGACTGGGATTTATAATCGATGCGGAAGGATGCGGGTAAGGGCTGGTAAGATGCGGAAGTTGGAAAGTTCATGACAGACTACTATGGCAAGATAAGAAACGGCCTAACGTAACGTGTAGACGATATCAATATGTATGGTGGCGTCAGTATCATAACAGAATTCCCTTGGAGGCTGATCAACATGTCTTAGCCTGCATCTTCCCGTTAAGATTTAATATGCTAGTTCAAAACCATCATTCATGAATTTTATATTCTCCGTCTTTCTACAGTATTGAGCAACTAGATTCAAGATGTAAATGTTAGCATTGGACTTGAGATAATGCCATATCCTTTAGCTTGATAATCTTCGGTTGAGGGCCTAAAAATACGTTTTTGCATTGCCCTGGAACAGAATGTTAGGCATAGCTTTTCTCAAATAAACTGAACATCATGAAACATATGTAAAATTAGTGGTTCCCAGGCATGCAGAGAAGTCACCCAGACGCTCATTAATCCCCACGACCCTAAAGCTCACAATGGTATTATCCAGTGTGATAACCGCTTAGCCTACTTCTCAATATTTGAGCCGTTCGGTGTCCTTATGGCGAACAAAACGGAATTAGTCATAGCGGATGGGATTAACATAGTTCTTGCCATCGTTGGAGACTGATGAGACTAGGTTCTCAGTGAATAACCAAGGGACATCCACGTATATTAATCCTGATTGAAGAAGTTGCCTCATATTTTTCTTCATCCTTCCTAACCATCAAGACTGCTCCGGTACTGAATCCAGGCACATTCGTATATCCTCTTTTCTTAGATTTATAGTGCTTACAGTTTCAGATAGCGAACTATTGTGGGTTCAAGCCCTATTGGCTGCTCTGTCACTATGTATGCTACCAGTCTTGACTTAGTTATCTTCTTCAGGTCCAAAACCCCGGATTGTTACATAGCTTTTCTTTCAACTTACTTATACCGTCGTAATATCAACGCCAACTCCCCCGAGTCCAAGCATCATTGTTAAAGAAAGAAGGGTGTCTCGGTTGTTTCGTACCCCCGTTAATATATTTAGGTCACTGTGGCGAGCTTCATCTTTGACGTTATCTTTGCGATAACCAGGATAAAGCCCTGCGATATATACCTAGTAAATCCATATGCAAATCAAAACTTTGTGCTTATTTACAAGTCAAATTCAGAGTCTGAAGACTCAGCGACAAAAGTTCTCCTCCCATAGGAAATGGATTTTTTCAACAAGACAGAATTACGTCCAATTTGGTCGGTAACGTCACACATTAGCTAGTCAGTCTTTCTCCTTAAATTAAAGCAAACCATTTAATTGAGGACAGAGGTTAAAATGAAGTATAGACCTGAAGAGAAGATTCTTGTTGGTCACGAGGTATGTTCAAGGTTGCTGCGAGAAAAGCAGTCCGCTATAGGGTAGACAATTTTTGCGGGAACCACGATCCTGGAAAAGGAAAAGGGAACCGCCAGTCTAGAAGCACCCATTTATCCCATCAGGAAACCACAAGCGCGCACTACGCGTTTTACCGTTGCTTTGCCGTGTGGCCAGATGCTGGCTGATCTTGTGGATGCGCGTCGCCCCACAGATTCAGCAGAAGCATCGCGGGGTTTTAGCAGCGACCGACGAGAGAAGCGCTTTGCAATGCCTGATCAGGAGATGGCCAGATCAATTGGCGGGGCCCAACATGCAGATTCTCTGCTCTCCGGCTCTCTCGCGACCCTGATTTCCCAATGCCCATCTATCCCGTCCAATAATGGTCTCTCCCATCCCAATCATGTCCGCTAAATTCAATTGGACTGACCCTGTGACCATCTCGGTCGTTTCTTGACCCCACGGCCTGTCTTTTCTGCCGGATTGTTATATTCCCCTCGTCCCCATCTTTGAGAACCCTCGGCTTCCTCTCGTGTCCATCTTCTCTACTCTCCCTCTCTACTCCCCGCCGAAACACCACAACCCGACACTCCCAGCCAACTCCGCAGCAGACTCCTGGTAGACTGGGAAAGAGAAGATCACGATGGCGGTGACAAACGGTACAAATGGCACAAACGGCACTCATGGCCATTTCAAGGCAAACCCGTCCCTCGTGGTGACCGCCGACCACCAAATCCGGATGGAAGAAGCCCCCATCCATGAGCCTGGCCCAGGAGAGGTCCTCCTCCACATCAAGGTCACTGGAATCTGCGGTTCCGACGTCCATTTCTGGAAGCACGGTCGCATTGGTGATCTCACCATTGACGGCGATTGCATCCTCGGCCACGAGCCTGCGGGTGTTGTATTGAAGAAGGGTGCCGATGTCACACATCTCGAAGTCGGCGACCGCGTAGCCATCGAGCCCGGCGTTCCCTGCGGCCACTGCTTCCTCTGCACCGGAGGACGTCCCAACCTGTGCCAGGACGTCGCTTTTGCTGGCGTCTACCCTTACCACGGCACCATTCAGCGATACAAGGTCCATCCCGCCAAGTTTGCGCACCGTCTGCCGGACAATGTCACCTTTGACTCTGCCGCCCTCCTCGAGCCTCTGTCGGTCGCCATGCACGCCCTGCGCATCACCCCGATCACCATGGGCACACCCGTCGCCGTCTTCGGTGCCGGCCCAATCGGCCTGCTCACCATGGCTGTCGCCCGCGCCTCGGGTGCCTACCCAATCGTCATCTCCGACATTGACGAGAACCGCCTCGCCTTCGCCAGGGCGTTTGAGCCTAACTGCCGCACCTACAAGGTCGACCCCGCCGACTCCCCCGAGCAGTCCGCCGCCAAGGTCCGGGACCTGTTCGAGAGGAAGGGGTGGGAATCATCCGCCGGGCGCACCGAGTACGACATGCCCAACGTCGTGCTGGAGTGCACCGGCATCGAGTCGTCCATCGCCACGGCCGCCTTCACCGTGCGCCGCGGCGGCTCCATCAACGTCGTCGGCGTGTCCTCGCGCCCGTCCATCAACAACATCCCCTTTATGCACATGTCCCTCGCCGAGATCCAGCTGCGCTTCATCAACCGCTACCACGACACCTGGCCCGCCGCCCTCCGCGCCCTCGAGGGTGGGCTGATTGACCCTACTAAGGTCGACGGCTTGGTGACCCACCGCTTCAAGCTTGAGGATGCCATTGATGCCATGAATTTGGTTGCCGGCATCACCAAGCCGGCGCCTGGGGAAAGGGTCGTCAAGGTTCAGATTGTGGACGAGCTTGAGGTCGAGATCCCCTAGGGAAGTCCAGGCTGGTGATGCGTTTTTTTATATTATTTTGTTTAAATACATGTCTGGTGTTACTTTGCTATTATTTTCTGGGAGACATGGTGTTGAGGATAGGAAAACATGATTGAATGTGGGATGGATGCGACAAGCAAATTCATATGAGCGTTGTAGCCACTCGTCGATTTTCATGGGAATGACATAAATAAGAATATACAAAGATTATCCTGAATTTCTGCTTCGCGCTCCCTTTTGATTCACAACCTGTGACCGAGAAGGCTTCCATCAACACTGCGGTTCATGATGAAGAAGCAAAGGCTACTGGCAATTCTATCATTAGAATAGCACTTGTTGCCGTCGTGGGCAGGGACCATAATGCACCGCCGCCCATGGACCAACACCGCCCCAGGCGGCCACATAAGGAGGTTACATTGGGCTCACTCAGCGCCATTATTGATATGCCTACTGCACCTACCTAGGTAGGCTTCTGACGCAGATTATTGCTTCGTGGACCAATAAGCTGCATATTTTCAAACATGGAAAAAGCCTGAGAGCCTTACTCTTATGTCTGTCACATGACAAGCTGAGCGAGTAAGCAGGTTACAGAGATCTCTTTTTCTCCCCTCGTCTTCGCTGCTGCTGTCTTCTATTTCCACTGGTTCACCTGGTGTTACACACATTGCCCGGCTTGCACAGGCTTTACTTCTACAGTTGCTCAATTTGAATGCATCAAGATCCTGCGTAACGCGTAGCACCGTTAAGGATTCGGTTCAAGCATAGCTCTTGCAATGGCGGACCCCCTCTCAGTATCGGCTAGTATCGCGGGTATCATCAGCCTAGCGGACATTGTGTTCCGATATGTATTTCGCTATGCACGCGCAGCTGCTGGAGCAAAGGATGAGATCCAAGCCCTTTCAGCCGAGATTCACGACCTCGGCGGAGTTCTCCGCAATCTAGACGCCCTTTGCCGCACACTCGAGGCTGAACCTAACCAAGGCTTCGACCCCAGCCTTCGACTTCACTGCCTTTTCCAGATTCAAGGCACATTCGACAAAATCGAAAAGAAGCTTAAAAGACCCACGGAAGCTTTCAATAAGCGTGCTAAGCCAACCGAACTTCGGGAGAAACTCAAATGGCCATTCACCAGCTCTGACACTAAAGACTTGCTCGCTAAGCTCTCTCGCTACAAAGAAACATTGACTCTCGCGGCCTCTATGGACACTATCAACGAGTTTCAATTGCTTTTGACTAAGCAGATCGAACAAGGACAGAAAATAGACATGTTGGGCGGTAAATTAGACGCCATCAAAGCATGCACCGAAATTCCTACCAAAATCATGTTAGACGATCGAAAGAGAAACGTCTTGGATTTCTTCCTCAAACCAGAAACAAACCCCCAAATCAACCTTGACCAGAGCATCAAACTTCGACATCGCACAACTGGTCGATGGCTTTCCAATGACGAGACCTATCGAGATTGGCTTGATCACCCTGGGTCCAGGCTGTGGCTCAATGGACTTGCTGGTGGAGGCAAAACAGTTCTGGCTGGAGTTGTGATACAAGATGCTCTATCAGCCAGTTCAGCTGACGTTGGGGTTGCCTTCTTTTTCTGTGACTATAAAAAGGAGGCCACCCTCACACCAGTTAACGTTCTTGGGGGGCTTGCTTCACAACTTGCCCGCCAGAAGGATGAGTTCTTCGACCTATTACAGGAATACTATGAAGAACTCCACCCAGTTCGCGGACTGGATAAACAGGCTGATGCAGATGAACTAAGGGCGCGTCTTTGTTCAATGGCCGAAGGGCTGAAGAATCTTATCATTGTTGTCGACGGCATTGACGAGTGCGGTGATCGTACATCCGACGTGCTCGAGAATTTGGTAGAACTGGCGGATACAGCCGAGAATGTGACCATCGCATTGTTCAGCCGAGATGAAGTTGATATCCAAGATCATCTTCAGAGCTTTGACAGAATCCCTATTGCGGCCCACACTGAGGATTTGCGGGACTATGTGAGGGCCGAGTTGGAACAGCGTACTCATTCTGGTCGCTTGTCTTTGAACAACATGGATTTAAAAAACGAAATCGGAGAAGAGCTCGTGGGAAGAGCTAATGGAATGTGAGTGGCCTCATGAAAATTTACGAACAACTGAGATTGATTGTTCTCCTAAACCTATTATCTCTAGGTTTCGTTGGGTGGTATGTCAACTTGATTACCTCTGTGAGTTTTCAACAGATGATGACAGACGAGAAGCTTTGAAGGAGCTGCCCCCAACCCTTCACGAATCTTACACCAGGTTACTGGTCAGAATACATGGAAGGCCACTGAAAGTCTGTAAGATGGTCCAGATGTGCCTCCATTTTATCGCCTTTTTCCCATGGAGCTTGTCCATCCAAGAGCTCTGTCAGGCAGTTTCCGTACCGGAAGGCGTTAGTGTTTCTCTTAGTGGATCACGCATGATTAGCAAAAGAGACATATTACGGGAGTGTAGCAGCCTCATTCGAATTTCTGCTAATGGCGAAAGTTTCGAGTTTGCACACTTCACGGTCCAAGAGTTCCTTCAAGACAGCAGCCTGTTGAGAACTCCAGACCTTGAGGGCTTCCATATGAGCAAAGCCAAAAGCAACTCAATCTTGGCTACTCAATGTGTGAGGTTCTTGCAGTTAAGGAACTTTGATAGGCAACCTTCAAAAGCACAAGAATGGTTGAACTACAAATTTGAGAGAACCTCTTCCTACCCGTTTTATGACAAAGCCGCTATTGCTTGGCCTATTCTTTCTCGGGAACAGTTAGAAAGCGAAGAGTTACTCGACGCAGTGAAATCGTTGTTTCATCCCTTCAGAACCTCATTTTTCCTCCCCTGGGCTGAAGACTTATTTGACTATATTATGGGGGGAATGCAGGCGGAGGTTACCAGCTGGCAGAAATCACAGACAAGATTTGACAGTGCCCTACAAGACAGACACTCTCCAGCCTGGGTCATAGAAGGTGGCATCAAACCTCTGCATCTTTCAGCGATTTTGAATATCCCTGAGATAACAGCATTTCTTCTTTCAAAGGAGGATAAAACTGTCCTGCATGCGAAGTCGCGACTTGGTACACCATTATATCTGGCAGAAGCATCCATCTTAGGCATTCCCATCCGACCCTACGACGATAATGGTTCAATCAAACTCAATTCTGACCTCTGTGCCGTTAGCCGTCGGCGTGTGGAGACGATATCATATCTTACTAAGGCCGGTGCAGATCTTGCTATGCTACTTGACAACCCAAATGTTTTCTTTAGCGCAAGCATTATCGATTTTGGTTTAAGGTCGTTTGACTCAAGTCTTCAATTATTAAAAGCGGGCTTTGTGCCATCTGATCATGATATTCGAAGATTTGCCCACTCCTTGTCTTTAACAAATTCAAGACCAGAGGATCATGAGTTAGAATCATCTTTTCTTGAGATTCTAAATTATCTTAAGGATTCGGACGCCTACAGCTCCACATGGGGATTTGAGCTTGGAAAATGCCTCTGGTCCGCCTGCGTGGAGTTGAATTTCTCTTTCACGAAACATCCAGAACTTACAGACACAAGAATTTCGTTATCAAAAGAGACTTTAATGGACAAAATACGTACCGCCATCAAGATAGATGATGTGGAACAGCTTCGAGTTTGTCTACAAGACCCACGTGTTAGCATCACCGACAACGGTGATGGTGGTACTTTGTTGCACGATGCCGTTTGGGCGTGTGCACTGCATTGCACGCGGCTTCTTCTTAGCCTAAAAAGTGACCCATCCGCTAAAAACGAGAAAGGTCGATCACCTGTGCATTGGTGCCATCACTTGACTGATGTTGAAATACTGAAACTTCTTGTGGAATACAACACAGAGGTCTTTTTGCAAGATAGCTTCGGCCGAAATCTTTGGCATTATTATGCTATAGATAGAGACTTTCACGTTTCAATTCTTGATATTTTGTTCAAGATAGACATGGAAAGAGGGCATAATTCTCTCTTGGCGGAAGACACCTATGGATTCACCCCATTAGAACTCTGCCTCGGTGAGGACTTGAAGGACGAAGAAATCTTTTTGTTCATTGACTATTGTGATCGTATGCCGAATTTTTGGCAAGCTCACAGATGCGTTTTCCCTATTGCAGCAAGACGAGGGCGTAAACATGTCCTCAAGAAGCTTATGGACCTGAATGTCATCCCGAAAACAATTGGCCCAAGCGAGATGAGCCCGCTACATGAGCTAGGGCTAATGTCAGATTTGAAAACTGTGACGATATTGAAAAACCTTTATCCTGCAGCATGTCAACTCAGAGTTGGAGATCATACCCCGTTAGAATATTATCTCAACAACATCTTATGCGGACCCGCATGCGCACCTTCAGGCGAAGTGTTCATGCCAGACAAAGACGTGATTCATGATCTATATTGCGAACAACTCTCAGGATCCGATCAAATCGGTAGGACAGGATTATGGAGATACACATGCAAGCTTTTGACACAATTTATGAAAGCCTGTGCTTTCTGTGCGCATCATTGCAGTGGGGTTCACGATCATGTAATTGGCAAATCGATTATCGAAGTAATGATTGATCTTGGAGCTATGAAGGATTATGAATCTCAGACCTCCTTGTCAGGTGTCAAGCTACTATTCGAGGATGTTCTCATGGCCCTAAAGGATAGGTCAAACGTCCGTTTGAATACCCAACAGTTCATAAACATAAGCACAGTCGAAAAGGTTATTAGTTCTTCGCAGTACTGGGAGCCCAACAGCCCTTGGGCAATCGAGTTGTTGCGAGAGGTGATCATGTGCAAAGACGTCGCCACCGTCAGATACCTCTTAGACAGCGGGCTAGATCCCCATCAGCGTCTGGGAACTGAGACAACAATCGAGTACGCCTGTTTAGGATCGAATCTAGAATGGCTGTGTGATAGTGAAGATGGAAAGGAAGTATTTCAGTGTCTTCTAGATCACTCTAACCCAGAAAGGTTGAAGGACTGGGACTACAAAGGACTGAGTCTCCTTCATCGAGTTGAAACGCAATCATATGAACCAGGACTTCACTGGGTAATCGATAAACTTGTTGAAATGGGATTGGATACCAATGCGTTCAACTCCTCGCCAGAAATTGCAACAACTGAAAGACTGCCGCCATTAGTATATCATCTAAATCAGGGATCCCTCTTCTGTGCCTCGGTCTTATTAGAGCTGGGCGCTGATCCTAATATGGCCCCGCCCAATGGGATGGGCACCATTATGATGGCTACATATTGGGGTTATACCTCTATTTTAGATGCAACTTTGGCTTCTTCCAAGAAATCTGGCCTCAAAGTTCGCTGGGAAGCACCCATGATCATTGAGAAGTACTCACCAAGTGCGGGGAAATACCAGGACGAGAAAGACTGCACCGCAATCCATTTGGCTTGTTCTATGGGCCATCTGGACTGTGTCAAGTTTTTCAACGAACAAAGCCTTCTAAGTATAGAGAGCTTGAGTTGTTCCCAGAGAACGCCCCTTCATTTTTGCGCAGAACAGGGCTACCCAGATATTGCCAAGTACTTAGTAGAATCTGGTGCTAAGATAGATAGCAAGGATGCGAATGGTGACACTCCCTTGCATTTGGCTGCTTGCCAGGGGCGGATTCAAACTGTCAAGTTGCTGGTTGAACTTGGCGCAACAGATGGGATTAACAAGAGCTTCAAGAACCCTGCACTGCTTGCTTCGGAATTTGGCCACCAAGAAATCGCACAATTTCTTGAGCAGGAATTTGGCAAGATGTCGCACCGCGATCCTTACCTAATATCTGATGTGTCTCAGATACAAAAAAAGGAGCTGCTAAGCAAATTGTATCCAGCGATCGAAGACGGCAACATCGAGACGTGCCGACTTCTCCTCACAAAAAAATGCCCGCTAAATATCCATCTATCACCTTATAATTACACCCCAATGCAATATGCCATCTCCAAGAATCAGCCAGAAATTGCCAAGATGTTACTCGATCATGGAGCAAGCCCATTAGGCAATGTCTGGACAAACACACATAGGGGTGTACAATATGCCTGTCACTTTCTGGAAACAGGATCTCTACCCGAACAGAAAACGTTCATTTCATTGCTTCCAAACATACTATCTCGAATATTAGAGGAAGGCGGGAATTTTCTGCAACCCACTCGTTCACAAGAACTACCAATTTGCGACGCATTCAGAGCCAGAAATATCCAGGCCGTCAGAACCATTCTGTTTTTTTTAAGAGAAAACTCCGAGCAAATCAGGTATGTAGCTCGATTGGTGATAAATGTAGTTTTCACTAACCCACACTCAAGTCGACGAAGCCACTTAGAGCCTCAAGAAGTCGTCCCTTCAATACTAAATACGCTATGCGATTACGACCTGGGCAGGCCGGTACTGGTAACCCCTTTGCATTTGGCTACATATTATGACCTAGTCGAGTTAATGCAACTTCTTCTGGAAAATGGGGCGAATCCTGACGCATTGGATTCTCATGGCTATAGTCCATTAGAGGTGGTGCACTCAAGCCCGGCCGCACAGCTTTTGATTGAATGGGGTGCCTCTGTTCCACCCTCCATGGTCATTGCAAACATGCAAGTGATCTCAGAGAAGATAGGATTCATCATGAATCCAAGAAATATTGCGAGCACATCTCAAAATGCGTTCAGAATTGCCTTCAAGCATGTACTTGGGCGGTCTCTATCATACCAGTCGTACCATTGGGAGAGAATCCATGTCAAAGGCCGGGGGTTTGTGCAAAATCTAGAACTTCTGGATATATCATTACACGATAAAAGGATTGGAGACACAAGTCTTATCAATGCTCTACTGCAAGTTTATCACGGGCAAGAGTATTTTCTCAACTCTCCTCGCCTTCTCGATCAACTTGAACCATTCAACTGGCAGTTGTTGAAAACTCGCCGTGTACCAGTCTTTCTTGAGAAGTTATTTCGCCACTATAGCCGACGGCTTTCGCGGGACGGCTTCCAAAGATGGGCAAATCTACAGCCCAAAAAGGGTTGGAGCCCACTGTGTAGAGCTGCTATATTTGGAGATGTTGTTTGTGTCAAAAACTGTCTTTCACTTGGGGCGGAAGTTGATTTTGAAGGATGCCCGCTTGGCTCTGCTCTAATGGCTGCAAGCACTTGTGGCCAGCTTGAAACCGTGAAGGTCCTTGTGAAGCATGGCAGCGCAATATCCTACACGGGGAAAGAGGGCACAATGAGCGCCCTTTCAGCAGCTCGATCTAAGGCCGTACGCCGGTTCCTCCTGGTTGGCCAATTTCAAGGACCCAAAGCAATTGGAGACGTAGATCCCAGAAGCAATAGCTCTGATGACAAAAATCTCAAGTTTTGGAGTGGGATAGCCCAAGCTCGCTTGAGATTGGACACGATTGATCAAGACCCAGAGATGTCTAGTTTGGATTATGCGACTTTTCTTGCCAGGATTAAGTTGGACATGAGAGGTCGGGTTGCGAGCATCATTGACGGGGTTCAGTACTGCGGGAGCGATGGTTCTATAGCCATGATCAAGAACGCAGGGCCAAAGATGTATTGGGAGTAACTGGCTGGCTCTCTTCTGGGTGAAGCTGCAATGAAAGTCCTCCTATTGGGCCAATGGGGAGAGTACGCCAACTGGGTACATTCGATGGACCATCTCCAAAATCCAGCCACTACAAACATGTAAAATCTTCCTACTGCTTCTCATAAGCATGAAAAACCTTCGAAATAATCTTCCACCCCCCATCCACCTTAATCAACGTCAAAAAGTCGACGTACGGATTATCCGGCGTCCCCTCCATCTCGGCCCGCACCACCGCCGTGGTGGGCGTCATGCCAATCACGTCCGCGCGCGCTTTAATATCCACGGCCGGCCCGTGGGCCTCGTAGTAGCCGTACAAATCCCTGTACGAGCCCTTTGACAGGGTCCCGTTGAGGAACCAGCCCGTCATGGTGGCGTCCTCGTGGAAGGCGTCCTCGAGGAGGCCACGGTCGGCCGCCCTGAGACTGTCAAAGTAGCGCTGGGCGGCGGCGATAACGGCGTCGTACTCGGCTGTAGGGATGGGCTTGGCGTTGGACGTCATTATGGATCTTTTTTTCTTTTTCTTGGTTCAAGTGTGTGTGTGTTTGGGTATAGACAGATAGCTGGATTTTTGTAGTCTCTGCGCGCTCAATCTTGCGTCTGCGACCGATGGGACAAGAGGAGAAGGTAGCTGAGGGCGGGGAAGCAGACCTCATTTTCTCGTCATATTGCATTCTAGCTGCGATCAGACCTCATCTTCTCGTCATATTGCATTTCAGCTGAAATATGACCAATAAGCCCTCCGTAAGATACGAGATACCATGCAGCATGTGTTGGCTGGCGGGTGATCTACTGGTTGAGTGTGGCCTCCCCGACTCCCCCGCCCGGCCTGCAATCAGCGGGAAGCGTCATAATCATGCACTGTTATCTGGTTCTGGAAGGCATCGGAGAATTTCATCTCTCTTACTCGATTAACACACGGGTACTTGGGTGTGCCTCTGCGATTTGGGGGCGGCTGGGACAAGTGTGTTGTGGGACACTGGATCTCGTTGGCAGAACTACAATGGCATCAGGACGGCAACAAAGCAAATTCAATTTGGGGAAAGATGTCATAAAACGCGGTGTAGATTTAAATCATCCAAAAGAGCTATCCAATTCGAAACCAACAAACTATCAATCAAGAAAGTGGACGTGGAGTATAACCACTTTCCTCGTCTTGCTTTACCAGATAGGACCGGTGCGGATCGGTTGTGAGCTGGGGGACAAAAATGCGGCTATTCCTGATGGGGGCAATCAAACCTCCATTGATCTGGAGTGTGCGAAGGGAACGGGAGTCCAGCTCCCTGGCAAATTCGATCTCCGCCTTGGTAGGAACCACCCCGTCGGGCAGCTTCTCGACGGTTTGGCACCCGGACCAGGCACCGGTCATGTTGGGGAAGCGGGGCTGATTGCTTGTAATACCGCCCTCGACTCCAACGACCAGGCCGTTGACTTGGGCGGTCAGGCAGCCCTCCACCTTGACGCAGTCCTCGTAGATCCAGGTGCCGTGTGGGGGGCCGGTCTGCACATACTCGTTGCCAAGGACCATTATCAGGCCGTTGCACTGGTCTGTAAGGCTGGATGAGGTCATGTTTTTATATCGACAGACAGGCTCTCCAGTTCTTGGATCCCGTTGAGGGAGCGGCATCTGGTCCACGGGCTCGCCAGGCGCGTAGCCATAGCCATTGGGTACTGTAATCAACTTTGTCAGCGAGATGCCCAAGAGCCAGGCTCGACAAGATGGGGTAGCCTCATGTAGTGCCATGCTTACGCTTCTTATTGGGGTTGGACGTAAAGACGTCGTTTGGGCCACGAGGGGGGCGAGACATAATGTTCACGTTGAATTAGAAGGACAAAATCGTTCAAGCGGTTCAAGGAGCAAGTAGAAACACGGCGTCGATCAACGACGATAAATGGACCACACGGTGGCCAAGAAGAATAAGTCACAGAAGATAATGGGCAGCGTCTACCTCGCAGGAGATAAGACGAGAGAATGGTTTGGAAGCGTGGTAGGCGTAGAGAAGCAGAGAGACAGATAGACCCCAGCCAGTGGAAAGAAGAGAGGAAGAGGGGAAGAACAGGAATGGAGGAATAGAGAGCATTAAGAAGATGCGAGCTGAAATAATAAGGCTGGGACCTCGCTAGATAGGTATTGCGTAGTATCTGCATACGGCCTAATAACTGGCCACATCCAACCGACCAACCAACAGTTTTTGGGCATTAATGCTTGTGGCTTCGCGCGCGTTTCTGCACTTCCAGAGGCCAAAGCGGCTGGCGCGTCGTAATGGAGGGCACAAAGCAGCCGGTCCCTCGCATGGATCTGTGCCAGAGGTCGGTTGAGAGCCATCTAAATCCAGCTCGGATTCCCCTGACGAGCAATAGATCCCGGCATAGGCTCCATTCTCTAGATGCTACGCTCTCCTGCCACAGTGACGGGCGCGTACGTGAAGCTCTACAGGTGGTAATCGTCGCTCGTGTTGACCGTGACGCCTCTCCTCTCCCAGATCCGGTGAACCCCCATGTCCTCCACCCCGCTGTTTTGCTTTTTGTCAGATAATTTCGCTTCTTGTTTGTCATAGCTATTGGCCACTCACTCGTCTTTCATGTTGACCACAGGCTCCGATTGGCCCTTTTCTGGATTGCGGAAGATCATGTTCTTTCTCTGCGCACGCTTGTGTCAGTCCGCCCCCCACTCGGTCTGGTTCGCCCTGGGGAGACACATACCAGTCCCAGAGTGAGATGTATCGCAGGAGGTGAGACGACGATGCTCTCAATCGGCTGCTTGCCCGCAATCATGGCGACAATGTTCTCGGAAACAACGCGCGCCTGGCCAATTCCCGGGCGAGCGGCTTTGTGAGCTCCACTGTCGGCAATGTCGCCCGCAGCGAAGAAGTGCGAGTACTTGGGGTCCCTGAATTGAAGCGTAGGCAGTACATTGATGAAGCCATTCGCCGGGTTCAGGATGGAGCCACCTGCCGTCGGCTCGAGGTCGCGGAGGAACTGATTGTTTGGGCTCTGTCCCGTCGCTGGGATGATCAGGTTAGCTGCAATCTTGCGCCCGTCCTGCAATTCCACCTCGAAGTCACTGCCATCTGTCGGGAATCCATTGGCAGGCACCACTGCCCGGCTCCCAGTGGCTAACCTGTTTCGCTGCAATTAGCTGTCTGATTATGGGTGCGTGGGGATCGAGTGTTCAATCAACATACTCGACTCCGAGCTCCTTGCATCGCTCCCGAATGATCTCGTCCATTCTCGGATGATACAGTGGCATCAGACGGTCACGCGAATGGATGAGAGTGATTTTCTTTTCAGGATAGAGCTCCTTTAGATCTGTAGCCATTTGCACGCCGACGGCGCCTCCTCCTACGATTACAATAGACTTCGCGCTCTTCACTTTCCGCTGGTAGTCCTTGAAATAGCCAATGGAGGACGGCTTATCGTCCTGCGGCATGGTCCCTGGAGGCGACAGGCGTGTGCCGGTAGTGACGACCACATAGTCAAAGGGTACCTTGGAGGATCCTTGCCAGTCGCGGTCGAGTACCACATGCTCCTTGGTAAGGGAGATGGCTTTGGCTGTAATGATGGAATGCGCAGATGGGTCCGACGCAGATGCAAAGGCACCCGTGTAAGGGATAAATGCCTTGTGCTCATGACTGGGCAGTACAGCAAATCGGGGCTTGTTCTTTGGGTCAGCTACCAATGATGCCCAATGAGGGGGAGATACCGTCACTTACAAAGGCGAATAGGTGATGGAAGTGGGTGTGTGGCTCGACTAGGAGCACCTGCATGTGTCTCACATCAGAAGGTGCCATCACAAAGCAACGTCGCTTGTTCACTCACACGATGGGTCTTTGGGAGTGCTGTGACCAGCTCGTTAACCGCCGCCTGCGCAGGATGAAACGTCAATATGGTTGGTCCAGACAACGGCGCGTAGGCAAGGGGGCAGAAACTGCTCAAAATAGACTCACGAGACCAACATACGATCCGCCAAGGACGACGACATTCTTCAAATTTGCAGCCATTTTGATTTTTGATTTGCGTCAATACTTTATCAAACAAAGAGCAACGGCGTCTTATAGCCGGGAGAGATCGAGAGAACCGGAGATTGATAACGGACCTTGGACTGACCCGAGTGGAGGCCCCATCCTGATTCAGTAGGTGACGCCGCGGATGTAGGGCAATACGGATGTGCGGAACTCCGAGACTGGCGGAGATATTCGGTCTTTTACGACGGGATATTGACGAATTCCTGCTTTTATTAGCATAGGAAATCGGGAGGGTGGAGGGAGAATAGCGGGGTGGTTCCTGACCAGGTCAAGTATTGGCTCCTGCTGGGTTTGCGTGGAGGAGGAGGGCCACAGTTCCGAGTTCCGAGCACGGCAATTCTGCCGCGTAACCACCAGTTTGACTCGCGGGAAATGACATTAACGCTAATTTGACCTTGAGGCAATGTGGGATTTATCGAGAATTTGTCAGTCGCACTAGCGGGCCTGGTGGGATGACATGCCGAGTGAAAATACCCGATCCCTTGTGGGTGCGTGGCTACTTCATCCCAGAGGAAACCAAGCTATGAAGAACCAAAGAGCTCCCACAGAGAAAACTTGATTAAAAATATGAAACTAAATAAATCATGGCGTCTACAGAGGTAAAAAGGCAATGTTGCCTGCGGAATACTGAGAATTTTTAGGTTGTTGTGTACAGTGGTTGGGAGAGGTGTGAAAATGGCGCCAAGAAATTGAAATCAAATATCGCGATGTGAAAGCGGATTTGTTTGGGGACTCGGTAATAAAATTAGAATATCAACGGTTGCGCTTCGTCGGATCCACTGCATGCTCTAACTCGGGGCAAATCACATCAACGCTAAATGAACCAAGGTGAGGTGGTCGTGAGCATTCACTCAGGCGCCGAGGAAGAACCTATGTAGCGCCTGACTTTAGCGTGCTGTTAGCATTTCCATGAAAACAAAATGACTGCGATTCCCTGACAATTAGAAATGAATTCAATCAATAATCTAGTAATACTTTACGATTGGGCCAAAAGTATTAAGAATGTTGTCGTCGATGAAGTTGTTGCTTCATGGGTGGGCAAGGGCCAAGTGATGATGCGGCTATGTTTTTTACAATTATCGTGATCATAATTTTAAATGCTACGATGGGCAATTTCAATTAAAGAAATACCTTAATCATTTGGGACTACCATTATTTCAAAATGACCGCTTAGCTTCGTGGTGGACGCACACTCCCGCTAGACTTGTGCTGCTAGTTGCGAGGTGCATCGCCCACCAGGACACCTCTGAACACTCCAATGTGTCATATACGAATTTCGCTCCAAGAAAGTCAACATAAGGGGAGGTGGTCTAACTGGTAGAACTTGTGATTATCGGCGTTTGCCAAATCCAATTCCTAAACAGTCAGATACACGCGACTCGACGACCTAAAACGGCCCTGAACGACTCTCGACGACACCCTCGACGACTCCCTACAGCCCTCGACGACCGCGACGACCCACCGACGACAACAGGCGCCGATAGTCACAAGCTTGGGGTTCGAATCCCCTCCTCCCCTTTCTTTTTTTCTTTTTGTCCTTTTTTTTTTTCCATCTGAGGGAGTTGTCAACGAGTGAGCTCCAGGCTTTCCAACGCACACGAGGAGCAATGCCGGGCGCTAAGTACAACTTGCATCCTTGAACGAATGTATACATTCACTAACTGCCTTGTAGAGTATCTTATATACGTCTCATTGGATTTTTTTTTTATGACTTGACTAAAGGCTTGTGATGGGAATCGGTCTGTATGGACGGGAGGAGTATCCAACTTCAAGTCATTGAGGCGACCCACCCCAGAAAGTGCTTCAAGATGATTCTACAGCTCACCACTTCTTCAGATGGGTGTTTCAGAAGCTTGGAAGCATCACAGAACCTTACGATTGTCAGGAATAGATGAATCTTCCCTACAACACCGCGAGCTTGCAGCACATGCGGAAATTGTGTCAGCCCCGCCAGGTATTTCTTCTTTCCTTCAAGTCCGCCAACACACTCAATTATTTTGCCAACATTCATTGGATTTACCACGATATTTTATCAGGCTACCCAACAAACGGAGTTTTTTTGGAACCAGGTGACAGATTGATAGCCTCAAGCATTAGTATCACCCCCATTCCCGTAAGGCTGCATGTAGGAGTCAACAGAAGATGTTCATGTGATAATTACTCCATTGTTTTTTTTCTTGGGGGTTTTTCAATACTTGTATATTGCGGCATCACTCTAGGCAAGTCAAAAAGTACTCTGCTCATGGATACTCTTGAGATTACATTCGGTCAACGAATTCCATCGCCAGAAGCAGCTCTGGGTTTTTTTTTTTTCCAGAGAGCTGTTGCTGTGGAGAGCGTGCAATGATGTCACTAAACAAGCCCCTGTAGGCAAACAACCCCTGCGCCCCGCCGGCTGACCCGTTTCCCTTCGTGTCATGAATTGCATGTGAGCTTGTTCAGCATTGCCTCTATGCATTCACTATCCATACAGCATCTCATGTTCATTATTATGCATGGCTTGGATACAGCTGTTGTTCCAATTGTTGTTTTGGCTAAGGCAAAGACACCCTGGCCGCCACGTAAGGAGAGTCAGCTGAGAATCAATAATCTCACTTGCCATGCATCACTTTGACACCGGCAACTTTGCCATCACCAAAGTTCCAACCCGGCACGTCTTGTAAATTAACTACTACCGAGCAACTCGGTGGAGTGACCACACACGCTTTGGATACTGATAATTAAACAATGTCACCATGATCTAGAGCTCCCGAAACCTTAAAAATTTAGAACCGGGAAAAGGAGGCGAGTGGGACGGGGCGATCCCCTAAATTTAGTGAGCCCGCTTTAGTTGATGTGGCTGTTGCTGTTGTGTCTCAGCTGGTGGTTGGCACGTCCGTTGGGCGTGAATACGAACCTTGGCTGATCTCATACTTGATTAGTGCCTGCGACAGCTCGTGTGTTAATTTGTTTTATCACGGCATGACTTGTTTCTGGTGAGACGAGACGGCGGCCCGAGCGACGTGCCGCTCGCCAGAGCTTGCTCGTGCATTGATTAATCGGACCACTGCTCGCTTTCTTGCTCTGCTCCTATCCCCTTCTCTTGCCATCAGCTTCTCTTCTCAGCTTCTTCTTCGTGCCAACCTACAAGCCATCACAGACCTTCTCAGCTAATCAGTCCAACCGCCAATTCACAATGTCGTCCACCGCCGTCTCTACCTCCTCCGCCGCCGCCCCGAGCACCTCGGCCGTGTGCGCAAACATCTGGCAGACCCCCAACGAGGACAAGAACTGCGCCATGCCCCGGACCGACAAGAACGTCGACTACATGAAGAAGTGCTGCAAGGACGCCCAGATCGTCAGCTACTACAACGACTGCGGCGTCTACTGCCTGGCCGTCGACCAGACCATCGAGGACCTGATCGGCTGCCTCCGCGGCGAGGGCGCCGGCGACCGCGACGTCTTCTGCCGCGGCACCGGCAACGACACGGCCACGGCCACCGACGTGGGCTCCCTCGACCCGACCATCACCGCCAGCATCATCGCGGGGGCCACGAGCTCGTCCAGCAGCGGCAAGGATGATGACAACAAGGAGGATGATAAGGGTGCTGCCGTCAAGGGGAGCGTCAGCGTGCTTGGCCTTGCCATTGGCACTCTGCTGATTTCCGCCTTCACCATTGGCGGCATCTAAAGAATGATTTTGGAGACGTAGGATCACAAGACGGAGTGTTTTTCCCTGCATGGTATATATTGACGGCAGTTAATCTGGTTTGGGCGGGTATGGGTAATATAAAACATGAGCCAGTACCAAGTGTCTGAGCTTCAGCATACGACATTATAATCACGTCGGAGTAATGGTTTGCTTCCATGGGTCGATACCCAGAGCTAAGCAAAATGATCAAGTGTAGCATAGAGAGCAGTAAGGCATGCCTAATGGTGCCTCTCGTATATAACAAATAATGATGCGTTCTTTGAACCTCGGACTCTTCTACTATCAAAGCCTCCTCATTTGGCTGTGATTACGAACCACTATGATTCCAGCTCGTCAATGCCGGTGACGTGCAGTGGGACAATCCTTCTGGCGTGGTTAAAATTGCTGTGCCGGCGAGGAAAAAATCAAGTCACTTTCAAAGCTAAACAACCCCTCTGGCGAGGTTAAAATTGCTGTGCGGTGGCCGAACCATCCACCTTCCTCTCATAGCTAGACAACCCTTAGAGTGAGGTTAAAATTGCTGTGAATGAAACGCCTCTCGCAAGAGCATTTCACAGCGAGACTACCATCCGATCAGAGAGAGGTTAAATTTGCTGTGCAGCTGCGGCGGAACCGCCCGAGTCTAGCGCTTACATCATTGAGATGTGAACAATGTACCCAAGTGCACAGCATCGGCAACATACGACCTACCCCAAGTCCTTTACACCCTTTCTTGGTGTTCACCAAGCCTGGCAGGGCAAATGAAATCCCCGGGGTCTAGGGGTAAAGTCAGCGGTTGAAGAGACTACACTTGAAGTTCGATACCAATCACAGGTAGGTAATTCCAATAGTATCGTTGCATCAACCGCTCGCTGGCAATTAGCTCACGCAGCAATTGCAACTGTAAGCTGACCGCCCGGCCGTAATCCCCCAACGTCAATAAGATGTTCCGTGGCTTCATCATACTTGGGAAGCATCTTCACGTACTTGTCTACTTCTCGGACTAACCGCAATATGTTCTTACCCAAGAGTAAAGGGCATTAGGCCACACGTCTGCTGGCAGAGAGATCAGCGTGTGTCGTAGTGTGAAATCCCAAGTTGCCTTTGTATTCTCGTTGAGCCATAAGTAATGACGTCCAATATGACCTATGGAGTGAGGTCTGGCATAAGCAAGGCGATATATGGTAGATTCATTACATCGTATTTGACCCCAGCTGATGGTTCCAAATTAGAGGCATCTCTCAGAATGCCCAGCTATCGCAAATAGCAGATTGCCACAGCTTCGGCCTCTGTGAAGCACCCGTCAGATCGTCCATGGAAGAGCCAAAAACGAGGCCCAGAACTTCATCCTTACGAAAGTCATCATTCGGCAAATTAACGCGCCAGACCAGGGGAGATCAGTGCGAGTAAATGTGTTCCTATCCGTAGTTGCAAGTTGAGGGTAGGCGTTGATAGCCTTGGCCATATTTGTTACATTATCCCCTCCCAAAGCTCTTGAAAATAAAAAGCCTCTCCCATCCTCAGCACTCCAGTGAACACGCTACCCCACATCAGTCAACCAGCCTGTTCAAGATAGACACAAAGATACTCGCCAAGGCTTCCTGATTTCCCAACGCGAGCTACACATCAAGATCATCATCTAGCCTCAGAGGACCACTCCTCAGCCAAGGAGCTGCCAGATATTGGACCACCCGAAGCAGGTGGAGGGCATGCAGTCCCGCAGAACTGGGTTGGCGCCTGGACGTTGCGGACGCCAGAAACTTCAAATACCTCATGTTCAACGTAAACACCCCCTCATCTGGAAGTCCTTCATCCTTTTCAATAAGCCGAGTGCGAAGCCGGTTAACCACAGTCGTTGGCGGCTATTATGCGGCAACAGTCCATTCTTTGACCCTCGATTCTGACCGTGGTCTGTTGGCGAGAGCCTTTGGAGCACTCCGATACTCCGGGTATCGCGCAGAAGTTCCTTATCAACCAGTATTTCCACCAGCGAAAGTGGTTGGTTTACAAAGACATAGGTATTCCAGTTGATATCGAACAACATGGCGGGCAGGCCGGCCAATTTCCGCCTCAGTATAAGACGTGAGCAATTTTCAGGGACCTTGAAAAAGCCGTGATATTTGGGACAGCGGCAAATGAATTATTGGAAACGGCATTGAGGAGTTTGCCATGGGAATGTCCAGAAATTGCACTGGGTGTACTAAAATCGATGTCCCCCACCTTCAAGCAGATCGGATTTCAATCATGGAACGAGGCTTTAGCCACTCTAGTACGCGAATATATTATAACGAGCTTCGGAAACGTTGCTCAAAAATTTCAGATAAACGAGAGCCCCGATCTCAAAGCTCACACGAGATCGCCGGCCAACATGAGTGAGCTTTCTCAGCCGCCCGACCCGCTTTACTCGTCTGCCTCGTCTTCATTGCCGTCGGATTTCCATATAAGATCCGTGAGATGTGTTTCAATTTTGGAAGCTCGCGATAAGATATTCAATGCATCTTTATCCCAAACAACCAAAAGACCCTCTGACGCCACGAAGGCAGCGAAATTTTGCCTCGTGGCGTGGGCGAGATCTTCAATAGTGGGAAGGACTTGGGCTCGACAGCCGTTGTCCAGAGGCACTTCTGGCCCGGTGAAGCCCTGCAGGAAGGTTCTTATGATATGAGAATTCACCGTCATAACGCACTGAGAACTAGGGTCAGCGATGGTAAGTCCCAGATCAGAGTGGGATATGCCCTTGCGGCCTACCTCGGCTTTGAGAGCGGCGGCAGCCTTGGCGAATGAGGATTCTGCCAGCTGTTCAGGGCATGCGAAATATTGGCCTTCTTTCTTATGCAAAATGACACCTTCCTTATCCTCCGCCGCGCCACTACCTATCCAGAGTTTCGAACATTGCTGTTGATAGAGGTACTTGACCAACAGTTCGGGTTTGATGTCATCCATCGTCCTGGAGCTCGACGCTAGAGGGCGAGTAGGCCGAGTAGGGGCAGGCGTATCCTTAGAGGGCTTCAAAGGGTGCAACGATCGTGATATCTGGCAATCTGCGTTGTCATTGAACGATCGCAGACTACCAGATTCCTCAGAAAGTGCCTCTCCAGTGACGCGTGACTCGTAGATGGGAAAATGGGAAGCGCCGCTACTTCTTCCGTCTTAGCGCCCTAGCTACGGCATCGAGCTCATTAATCTTCCCCTCGCTAGCTGATGATTGTGAGCGGGATGTGGAAGGGGGGTCAAATAATCTTGCCAGATCTGGTCCCGAGAGTATCATGAGCTCCCTCAGAGTACGGACATGCAGACCCAATTCCCGAGGCGCAAAGCTCACAAGGAGGCCTATCAAACAAAGTAAAGGTCGCATCCATTATGAGAGGCTTAAGGCAGTAAGGTGGAGGGAATGTGTGCCTAATGGTGGAAAAAGAAATAAACAGGCCGAGGTGCTTGTTTGATATTGTTTGTAGGCTTTCCAGGCATAATCCATACGACAGAGATCGCTATGTCTATACTTGGCCTATTTCGTCTACAATTTTCATCGTTGACCCTAGAATGTATGATGTCCAACGGCTTACCACATAAGCCAAGATGGATGCTGCCGCAATTGCAACCCAACGGGGAAGCACTCATCGCGTGGGATCTTGCGGGGTGGCAGTGTGGGAGGGGCGGGTATCTTATCAAAGATAAGATAGCTACATCGCGGCTTGAACCGATGGCTGGCTCGGTCTTGGGTGGCAATGGCTAGGTAATCAGATCCGTGGGTGGCGGGCAGATTGGGACGCGATGGCAGACCGGCGTTTTGCTGATCAGGAGGCGACCAGCCATCTTGCCATCCTGTGCTTGCTTTCCGGATTCGAGGCAATGTGGAGCTGTTCGTTGCCAACCGGGTATGCATGTAAGGGGCGCTGGCAGCTTAGTCCCTATCAACATCCACCAGCCTAGGGAGAGGTAGCGCAGAAGCGCCCAGCTGGAGGGAGACGGCTAACCCAATGGAATTGCCGGGTGACGCTCCCGTTGCATCGATTCAGCGGTCTGTCTGAGAACCTGGACAAGTTTGCCCACGGGCCACAGCCAGCAGAAGTACCGCTAGGAAACAACGCTCCTCCACGCGGTAGCGCCGCGGATGCAAGCGTGATCAGAACAAGACGCCAAGTTCTGAAACCTGTCAAAGGATGTCGCGCACTCGTCCACCGCCTCGCCCGTGATCAATGTGCTGGTGGGGATGGAGTGGTTTCATTTGGCCGCAGTCGTTATGGAAACAAGATGATCATGCCCGCATAATGATCGGTAGGCTGGGAGTGCTCGCCCAGCTGTCACAAAACGCGCGCGAGTCCTCCCGAACACTCCAGCAGCTGAACTGGCGGTCCTTGCACCGCCAGACAGAACAGGGGAAGCTGCACCCTTTTGGACAAAGGGCACACGTCTTGGACAGCAACATTGCCTGAACAGGCCAGGGACAATGGAATGAGGCCGGCTCCATTTGGTGGCCAAGTCCCCAGGACCCGAAAAATAGCCTGTTCTCTGCATGGGCGACGTGTAGGTACATACGCACTACTGGCCAACCCCCTCACCCCCTGAAGCCAAGTTCACCGACTATTGCCCCAAGGTGCAATTTTTCTGGTCAAAGGCGAACCCCGTTAGTGAGAGAGGCGCCAAATCTCCCTTGGTTTATGAACTCTGGCATGGCTTGATCTAGATGTCACGGCTCGTTTTCGTTTCAAAAAGCGTCCCAGGGCCGGTCGCAGTAAGGCCATCTTCCAGATTACCTTGTTTTGGTTGGGCTTGTTTCCGCTCTCCCATGTCCGTTCCAAGGGTTGCATGTCGTTTGGTACAAACCGCCTCTTCTTCAACCGACCCTTGCTACCCAAGTAGAGGTGTGAGCCGAAGGCACGCTTGGGACTTATAACAAGATCCAAGTCCCCTCCTACCTGGTTGGGCCTAAACGACATCATTATTCCTCAACTTTGTTTTACGGTTTTCTTTGTTTTTCATGATTCTCGCTTTTTATGACCATATTTATCATCATAACGACACCTGTATTTCTCCATGGCTTCGACATCCTCCGCACCGCTTTTCGCCCGACGCGCCGCCAACGCAGCCAAGCTCGGCGCGGCTCTACCACCCCTCGCCGCCACACCCAAGCTCACCATAGAGATTCCCAAGCCCGACATCAACAAGATCTCCAGGGATAAGAGACGTGATTCGGACAGCGGATCATGTCCATCTCTCACTGATGGAACCCAAACTCCCCTAACGGGCTCCCCCATTGTTCACACACCGCGATCTCCTCGGTACACAAGGCAACAGGAGCGTGAATGGTGGGTCCAGTGCTTGGAACACATTGGTCAAGAAGAGGACTGCATCGACTGCTTGCAGTGGCAGACTGAGCTGCCCAGCATCACACCATCTAAGCCATACGAATGTGAGGGCTTCAGCTACGAGGACGAGTTCCCCTGCACTGAGGTCTTTCCTCTGATGGAAGAGGTTGAGATGGAGGTGCCACAATACACCGAGTCCCTCACAAAACTATCCTACCGAGAGCGTCTCAACAAGTCATACTTCGACCTAGGAGACACTCTATTCTCACCAATCACCGAGATGACTCAACTAGGACCGGGCTGGAATGAAAAAGCCCTCCAGTTCTTCAACCAGTACATCACGCTTCTGGTACTGTTACTTATCTCGGTCTTGACGGCGTACTGCATCGGCAGATGGACTCTCCCCAGGCAAACTGGGCTGGAGACCTTGAGCATAATCTACTCTATGCCACGCGTTGACGCGTTCGCCCTACATTGGGACTGGGATTGGGCAAACCACACCCAAGTCTAATACAATGGAGGGCGACGAGAAGAAAAATTCACTATACCCGTATGGACAGGACACATACACACGACTCTACGAGGAGGATGTACAGATTTGAGGAGGATTTTTTCAAGGAGCTAGATCTTGTGTCGATTCTTTATCTTACTATTATTATGATGACGACAATGACGAACAGGGAATGACGAGTGCAACGAATTAGCATGAAATGCACGAGCAGACAGCCACGAGACGAGACAGAAACGCATTGAAATATGCGGACAGATCTGGTGGCTGGCAATTGTGCGCACAGAAAATGCACATGAACAAACACAACAGAGCACATACAACAACGATGGAAGCACCAATATGTAAACTAGATAAAGATAAAAAAAAATCTATAAAAATATACCATTTGATAAAATATTCTCGCGACGCGTTCTTAGTGAAATTAATGATAAAATTTGCCGTGGTCAACGCGACGAGCCCGGGGCACGTGACCACACCGCACCATGGGAATATAACCAGCTTGCCTCTGTCACAGACAACTTTTCCCTCTCTCTTCTCCAATTCGCCTGACAGGAACTGGCTTCTGACTGGCTCGTGGAGATATGGTGCCCCGCTTTACACGGCCACCACCAATGGTGGGGACAAGGCTGGCGGCCAGAGCTTTCCTTCCGGCCTGGCAAAATTTCTAGACGCTTCCGTAGTTCTAGCGGAGACCTTCAATCTGCCTTCCTCACCATCCCGCCCACCTTCCCATACTAATAGACCTTCCAGCTGCTCCCCTTTCTTCGCCCCAAACCTTCCCTCCTTTCAATTTGCTAACACCTTGACACCAACGTCGTCTGCGCTCTCTACCTTGCTACAGTAAGTGCTATCTGTTCTTCTTTCTTGCTTACATATCCCCTCGTGCATCATGATGATACACCAGCTGGCACCAGTCATAGAGCGACTTGTACTCCCTTTCATTGATGACTTATATGCTGTGGTCCTCAGAGGCCTCACTGATCTGCACTCATATCTCCCATCTATCTTCGTCTTCTTCAAACACAATTGCCGAGACGTTGCTAACCTGGCATCCGTGCGCAGCAGAACCTACACATCCAAATCCCCCGCGGTTCCAACCCGAATTCCCGCCCACCATGGTTCTTCACAACCCCAACAACTGGCACTGGGTCAACAAGGACGTGCGGGAATGGGCCAAGGAGTGGTTTACCAAGAATGCGTGCAATCTCGAGGCCAAGCAGGGCGATGTCGAGGCCAAGATCTCCAAACTGACTTCCATGGACGGTGATGTCGACGTGAGCCAGCGTAAGGGCAAGGTTATCACCATTTTTGACGTGAAGGTCGTCCTCGAGTATACTGGTAAAACTGAACTTTCCGCCCACTCTTGAACCCATGCATGAAGGAAACCCCGTCGGTTGACACCTAGTCGGTAGGGTCTGCCCCCGATGCGGACGACGTATCTGGTAGCATCACCATCCCCGAGGTCGCCCATGACACCGAGGAGGATGAATACGTGGTAAGTAATAAGCTTTTCCACTTGGCCCAACGTATCAGCCAAAACCTAATTAAACCTCTTTGCCTCTCTGCGTAGTTCGATGTCGACATTTTCGCCGAGTCGAAGGAGAAGCAGCCCGTGAAGGACCTCGTCCGCAGTAAGCTCGTGCCCCAGCTCCGCCAGACCTTCCAGAAGCTCGCCAGCGATCTCATCGCCGAGCACGGCAAGGACATCCAGCACGCCGAGGGCAGCAACCCCTCCAGCGGCTTCACGCCCGCCAAGGTCCACCCACAAAAGGCCGGCGACGGCACCTCGTCCTCCCAGACGACCAGCGCCCAGACCAGCGCGGGCGGCACCGTAAACACGACGACCGTGACGGACAACGAGGAGTTCCGCACGACCGCCGAGGAGGCCTACCAGACCTTCGTCGACCCCGCCCGCATCGCCGCCTTCACCCGCTCCCCGCCCAAGCTGTTCGAGGGCGCCAAGCAGGGCGGCAAGTTCGAGCTGTTCGGCGGCAACGTCTCGGGCGAGTACCTCGAGCTGGAGAAGAACAAGAAGATTGTCCAGAGCTGGCGCCTGAGCCAGTGGCCCGCCGGCCACTACTCCACCCTCAAGATCGAGTTTGACCAGAACGACGTCGACCACGTCA